TTCATAACTACAATCTTTTGTTAATCATCTTTGGACAGTCTAAATGTTGACCTAAAAAAAAAAATGTTGACCTAATACTTCTGTTTGTGTTAAAGCTAGTAGGCCTTAATCCATAATAAGACAATTTAAACTCTTCTCTATTCTTGCTTGAGCTTTTGTCCCTCAGAACTTTTTTTTTTGGTTACCGTCTCACTCTATTTCCCAGGCTAGAGTGCTGTGGCATCAGCCCAGCTCACAGTAACCCAAACTCATGGGTTCAAGCAATCTTCCTGCTTCAGCCTCCTAAATAGTTGGGACTACAGGCAGTCACCACAACGTTCTGCTAATTTTTAGTGGAGATAGGGTGGTGAAGGCTGGTCTTGAACTTCTGAGCTCAAGGGATCCTCCCGCCTCAGCCTCCCAGAGTGCTAAGATTATAGGCATGAGCCCCTGATCAGCCCCTACCATTTTCTGTATATTTTCTTTTCCTTAAACAGATACCTAAGAATTGTTAGGTGGGGATAAGGAAGAAGGGGAACAGATGCTTTGTCTAGGGGTGTCCATTGAGAGGCAAATGATGTAGGAGATACTTTGGCTACTAAAAAGAACAAATTGACCAGGGGGTTCTCAAGGAAGAACAGATGACATGTCAAGAGGGTCCCCAAGTACTGACCAAATGTTTGGTCTACAATATTGTGTCTCTAAGGACTGCCCAACCAAAAAGAAACTGTGAAACCACAAAGTAGAGATTTATGAAGGCTTCAATAGAGGGTCTTCAGAGCATTTGCACAGTTGAAGTAATAGTGTCCATAAATGACCTATCCTTATTAACATAGTAAAAATCACACCACTGCCATGACATTTTACAAATGCCATGGCAACCCTGGAAAATTGCCTTAGAAGGATAGAAAGGCTTCCCAATTCCAGGAATTCTCCACCCCTTTCCAAGAAAACCATGAGTATTTCACCCCACCCCCCACCTAACATAAATTTAGGGAATCAGCATAAAAGGAGAAATCTTTTTTAAAGTGAGGATCTCTAGGGTCAGGTGTGGTGGTTCATGCCTGTAATCCCAGCTCTTGGGTGGTCGAAGCAGTGAATTGCCTGAGCTCAAGAGCTGGAGACCCCCTCTCTAAAAAATAGCTGGGCGTTGTGGTGGGCACCTATAGTCCCAGCTACTCAGGAGACTGAGGCAAGAGGATCCTTGAACCCAAGAGTTTGAAGTTGCTGTGACCTAAGACTACATGCGCTCTACCCATGGGGTCAAAGTGAGTCTGTCTCAAAAAAACAAACCTCAGTGTTTCTTCCACTCCAGGGTGCTGATCGATTCCTTCTCCAGAATTCCAGTACTATACTTAATAAAACGGCATTTTGCACCTGCTTTCTCTGCTTATTTACTCTGCTCACTCAGTACCAGGAACTATTCTTTGGGAACCAAACACCTGGGAACATGAAGAAATAGAATCCATTCCCATATGTGTTTTCCAAGTTCCCTCTGACACAAATTAGTCAGGTCTTATTGCGCCTTTGATGGGTAAGTCAGGGTTCTGCCCCAGGTCTCAGGCATTGTGTGCAGAGAATTTTAAAACAGTAATAGAGGCTCAGTGCCTGTGGCTCAAGTGGCCAAGGCACCAGCCACGTACACCCAAGGTGGCGGGTTCGAATCCAGCCTGGGCCTGCCAAACAACAAT